CCTGGCTTCATTGAAGTCAATGGGAATTTTGCCATTTGCTTCAACAGGGTCAGGTTTTCACCCTTAATTTTTACTCATATCATATATCATACCATATCATATCATAAAGACCCTTAATTTTTTTGTTTCATTTCTCTAAATGATTTAATTATGGACTCCTTTAGGATGTCCAAGCCCTCTTCCATGTGCATTGGGATCCATATGCTATCTTTCATCAATACTAGGGGTGTAGAAATCAGCTGGGGTACGCAAAAAAGGGAGCAGCTGCTAAGTAGCGTATCTCTCCTTCCCCAGATCACAGAGAAGATTCTCCTCCCTTAATCAGTGGGGTTTGGCTGGGCTCTGTGAGAACCATACCAGGGGTTGGAGGGCTATCTACTTTTTCCATCAGTCTCTGCCACAAGAATTTCTCCATGGAAGGTAGAATTATAGAATATCAGGGTCAGAAGGGACCTCAGGAGGTCATCTAATCCAAGCCCCTGCTCAAAGCAGGACCAATCCTCAATTTTTGCCCCAGATCCCTAAATGGCCCCCTCAAGGATTGAACTCACCCTGGATTTAGCAGGCCAATGCTCAAACCACTGAGCTATCCCTCCCTCCTTTTCAGGTAGTGCTGACCTGACCCTCAGGGAGTAATGTGTCCATGGGGTGAGGCTTGGAGAATAGTGCAGATATATTGAGTCTTTGCACAAAAGTGCCTGCCCTTCATAGGCATCTCAAGATCCGTGAGACTTTGCCACGTTCTTAGGACATCTCTTCTGTTGCTCCTTTCATGGGAAGGGAGGGACCCACTCTGCATGGAATGCATGATGGAAACTCAGAGGGCCTGATTCTTAGTTACACTGAAGCCCCTTTACAAAAATTTAGCCACAGAAAAAGGTCTTAAAATGGGTGTATGTAACACTTCCATCATGTTCAGACCCCTTTACAGGCCAGAGTAGTGTAAAGGCCTTAATGTAACTGCAAGATAAAGCCATGGAGATTACCATTCCTTACGTAGATTTTTGCCATGTAGGAGACTGTGTGGCCATAAGTGCCCTAATTCTCCAAAATTGACTTTCCTGAAATGTCATACACTTTTAATGCTGTACTTGATTAACCACTTGTCTGTTGACTAATTAAAACTTCATAGTCTCTAGCACCAACCTTCCTTATTTTGATATTCTTATTTGATAATCTTTCCCTAATGGAGCAAAATAGATTATTTTAGATGAGAGGAAACAGCAAAAGAAGAAAACATGAAAGTAAAGACTCAACCAGACAGCATGGTTTGTATCTCCTCTTCAACTTGCTGCATCAACTCTGCCTCACAAAATGGCAGTTGTTCCTGCAAACAGGAGACTCCAAGAAATGTAAAGGTGCAATGAAAAGGCAAATTACATTGTTACATGCACCATTGATTCTCTGATGTCTGTGTCACAGAGTTGTTCTCCATTTATTTTAGTAACCTTTGTTGATCCATGTTTAGATTTATTAGTCACCCAACACATATATTTGGTCAGATAAAGCCTCCACTCACCCCACCCCCATGGGCATACATGCTTGATTGTTGCTTCATGTTTGTTTTCACTCTCTTCCAGCAGTGAAAATCTGTAGCAATTGCTAAAATGATTTTATTTTCTGTTCATTGGATAAAGTGAAAACATATTCTTACCCAAAGAACTTCACAGCTATGTTCTGCATTGGCAAATTCTATTTCAGTGGTCTGGTAAATAATTCTAATATAGGGACCACCCATCCACCTGTTTCTATCTTTTCTTCACAGATTGTATTCATCAGTGTTCATACTCCAATTATAAGAAACATCCCACCAAATTTCAGGTGTGCCCATTGTGTTTGTTATGCATTTGTGAACTTTCCCTTTTATGGTCTTTTAGGTATTTATTAATATCCGCCTAATTTAATATCTCTATTGCCTTATTTAATAGCTCTAAAACTGCAAACCATAACCTAAGTATTTATCAGAGATGCATATTGTGATGTATGCCTGGAAAGGAAGACACTGCCTTGTATTTTTGCATTTTCTTTACCATTGTCTACCTTCCTTCTATGTGCTGTTATAATTATTTTAATAAATAGGGGCTATAAAAACAAGGTTACCTTTTCTAAACCTTTTAGGTATGAGTGCAAGGACAAAGATGTGGTGCACTGCTGAACAAGGAGATGTATCTTCACTTCACAGGATGAGTGAAACAGAAGCCTTAACAGAGGCGTTGACAGAGTACCTCTGACCCTCTGCTTTCGCATAAAACTTCAGTGTACAACAATCTAGACCACCCCACCCCAGGTGAGAAATGAGAAATTTTAAGGGCCGTTGAACACTAAGCGTTTTCACAGTAGGCAAGCACACATTTATTCAGCACAGGTGTTTCTGTAATTGTGAAACACCGGTAAAACCTCACAAAGTTCAATAGCCCTCAAATTCATGCTTCTACTGGTTTGCAGTGATGATCTAGTGTTAGTACACTGGGCTATAATATAAAAAACCATAGAAATGCATGCTGGTTCAAAACCTGAGGAAGTGTCCCTTACACTCAGTTTGCTAGCTGCGTTGCTTTGTTTCTGAATTTACAGGTCTCTGTATGTCTCTCTCCTCACTCCCCTTGTTACCCAAGTAGTCCTTCTATTCCTCCCTGTGTGCTCTTCCACAGCTGGCCAATCTGTTTCTGCCTCTATTGCCCCCTCCAGCCAACCAGTCTCTGTTTTTTCCCCTCTCTCCACTCCTTCCCCATCTTAACCATGTTGTGTCCCATGTCCTGTCTCCACCTCCAGCCAGCATGTCCCTGCCTGTTGCTATCCCCCACCCCTTTTTTCCCTTCTATCCTGCTAGTCAGTAAGGCCCTTCACAGCAGAAATCCCCACACCCAATATCCCTGCTGCTCCTAGACAAACTCCCTCTTTCTCTAGTTTTAGCTTCCTTGCTAGCCAACCTGTCCCTGTCTCCTTCCCCTCCCCTGCGCAGACTGTTGTCCCTCACTCCACCCAACCTCTCCTTGGTTCTCATCTCTGCACCCTTTACCCCAGTCAGTGTGGAAATGATATTTTAGGTACCACTTATCCTACAAAAACAACCCTCATTAAACCTATTTTTCCCCAAGCGGTTCAATAGCTTGTTTTTTCTTTGCCTGTGTTGGCAGTGCAGGGGTCTCAAACACGCGGCCTGCGAGTTATTTCCTGCGGCCCTCCATAGGCGCCGACTCCATCGGCAGCCAAGCTCCTTTCACTCCCTATCCCCCGTCCTCCCCACCCTGAGCGTGCTGCGTCCCCACTCCTCCACCTACCTCCCAGTGCTTCCAGCTGCCAAACAGTCTGGCAGCGCTTAGGACTTTCCAGGAGGGAGTGGGGAGGAGCGGGGACACGGCGCACTCAGAGGAGGAGGCGGAGAAGAGGCGGGGCCGGGGTGGGGATTTGGGGAAGGGGTTGGAAAGGGGGCGGGGAAGGGGTGGGAAGAGGCAGGGCAAGGGCAGGGCCTCATGGAAGGGGTGGAGTGGGAGCAGGGCCGGAGGCAGAGGGGGGGGCTTTAACGGAAGTAATTCTAAAAATAAATGCGTGTTTTGTCATTTGAGTGAGGTGCATTACTGCGTGTTTATATTTTATTAAAACCCCTCTTCACATTACAGTTTTTAAAAAGTTAATACATTGACTTTTAATAGCACACTATATTACTCTTCATTTTTTTCATTTTTGATTATACTTTTGTATCATTGTTTGAAAAGGTTTCAGTGATGCAGCCCTCGGGCCAATGTACTAGTCCTCATGTGGCCCTCGTGGTGATTTGAGTTTGAGATCCCTGTTCTAGAGTAATTACTACCCAAGGTTGAAACAGTTTCCTAACATGAAAATCACGTTTACATCTGTGCACGCAGGTAAGGTAAAACATGAAAGGGCTGCAACATGTTTCATAACTGTGATACCACAGGGTTACTTTTGTACGTGCACAGGGCCTTAGTGAGCCGTTCCTAGTAGTGAGAGTTCCTAGTAGGCTAAGACTTCAGGGGCCAGGATGTGCTTAAATAAAGGTACTAGCATTGTTTTATAATTGGAACCGGTTGAGAATTTTCCGTTGATTTTTTTTTCTACAGAAACATTGTTTATACAATGGAAAACAGAAATTAAATAGTTCATTCTGGGATGGTTTGACTCAAATCAAAATATTTCTGTTTGTTCAACTGAACCAAAACACTTTGTTTCACCTCAGTTTAACTTTAAAATTACATTTGTCTAAGCTGGTGCAGTGCCTCATGGGAGTTGTAGTTTGGGTGTTTCATGCTCCCACTCTTTCCCATGGGCTGTACTCCTTGAGTGGGCTAGATGCCCTGCAATGTCTACTCTGGTGTATCATTGGAAACACATGGTTGTGGTACAATGTAAATCTTGCACAACTCTAGTGTTAATGCCTTATGGTCTTCATGGGGGATTGTTGGGGTTACATTAAGTTTGTACAATTAAAAAATACAATATGGATTGCATAATGTAGAATATACTCTCGCAATTCAGATTTTGTTTCCATTGAGAAATATAATTGATCCTTTCTTGACCCCAGTATTCTACTCTATAGGTGTACCACATCTCAGTTACACCAATCAACCTGTATACTGCAGAACAAAAACACAGTCAAGACACACAGAAAAATGGGAATAGTAATTTAAACAATATTCAGTGTTCTGGAGGTTTTTATAATACTGCAGACATATGCAGATCTACAGCCAGGAATTTGTTCAGCAAAGTAGAAATCAGAAATGTTCAATACATGTTTTGGTATAATGGTGGAACTATAAATTTTTTTGCAGAATCTGATGTTTCTACAGAGTGCATAGGCTAGACTATTCATACTCATGTGGAACAGAATCTTCATTTGTGATTAATCCCACTGAAATCAATGAGTAAGGTACTACTCAATCTCATTAAGGATATCAGAGTCTCTTTTTATGATGTTAGTGAACCAGTTTTCAGGATGGTGGTAGAATATAATCTTTGGTAGCAACCTTTAATGGAAGAACTTGGCATAAATTAGTGTTTTATTACTCTTTTTGGAAATTTTAAACAAACATGCCATCAGCTATTGTACAATTATTTCATATCAGGGAACAAACTCACTTCATCCAAATTAAATATTTGATCACTGATGTCCTTAATAATTAATGAAATAAATAAATGTCTTATCTGTTCATAGCCCCTGTGATCACTGAAGGTTTGCTCTTGCATCCCAGTGCTGTAAGGTGTCTCTTGAGAGCTGCTGAGATCACTCAACTTGCATCAAAGTTAAGGGTGTTCAACACTTTCCTCAGGGTTTTAAGCAGCTCACAGTACAGGACTTTGGTTGTTGATATGTTTGACTGCATTACTCTGAATGGCTTTTAATGTCATCCTTCATAGATCTCAGGTAGCAGAAGTGGAGTGTGAAGTAGTCCCAGTTTCTTTCATACCAGGAGACTCATATACATGTATTTCAGAGACCTTTCAACAAGTCTACTCAATAAAATTTGAGTCCATTCCAAGTTTATAAGAGTTCAATCAGGCAGATGTTAATCAGTGAACTATGCATAAAAAAGCGAGCAGCCGTTTCCACCGTCTCCAAGATACTTGCCATAGAATCTATTATTCTAGTGCCACAATTGAAAAAGGGCTTAGGTTTTAATTGAATCTCTTTTGCAGTCTCGAAGAAATTAGGGCTCTTCCAGGCTGATACTTATTCTAATGAACCTGAATACTATGGAACACCCTTTTCCCCCTCCCCCCACAAAAAACTTCACTGACCATAAACAAGACTGTATCTCTGGAGGATTTCCTATGCTCTACAGATTTAAAGTTTCACTTTATAGTGTCTTAACAATGGTATTTGTCTGTATGTCCAGTTCAAAACCATGGAAATTAGTTAAATAGTTCCCTCGTACAATTTCATCAAGCTGATAGTGAAGGAAACTGCTCTTTTAAGGAAGACAGGAGACATTTCCTTTGATGGTCTATTAATCAAAGCCCTTTTATTTAGTTTCTGAGAAACGATCTTTGCTACTTTTCTGAAGCAAGAGTATCCATGAAATTTCTTTTGTATAGGTTTTCAAACTTTATAAAAGCTATCTCCTCTTATGGTTAAGATCTAATCCAACTGCCACTGATGTCAGTGGAAAAAAAGACTGAATAACTCCAGTGGGATTTGGAAAACACCCTTCTGGAGGGTTTTTGCAATACTGTATTTCCTGAACAAGTCTGCACACACAAACTATTAATTATATGTATTATTTACATAGTTGTGCATAAATGTCACATTCAAGGTGTGTGCATCAGAGCCCAAATTAATGGGAGTCTTTCCATGGACACTGAATTAGACTCACAAAGTGAGGAGATCCCTGCTTCAAGGAGCATACAATCTAAATTAGATAGATATAGCATGGGAATGACAAGCAGCCATGAAGGGAGGGAGTAGGATGTGAAGGAGAAGTAACAGAAGCAATAGAAGTCAAAGGTAGGTGCCTTTGTAAAAAAAATGAAAGATTAGCTCATTCAGTGAATGTGGTAGAGGTAGGGAGTGTGACAGATACTATCATGATGTACAAAGCAATTGGTATATAGTCGTTTGGGAAGTCTTCAACTTTCCCAAGTTTGTTGGAGGTTTTGCTGTTGCGTCTAACTTTGTTTTACTGAAAATAAGCTATAAAATCTCTGTTCTAGTCCAACCTGGCAATGATTAGCTGGCGCACAGTGTATCTGAAATCCAAGAACTTGAGAGACTCTACAATTTAGGTCCAGACCAGTGAGAGGTTGTGTCACCACTTGCCCTGTAACCCTGGGTGTCTCATGATACTTTGCTGCTGTTGCTGCCAACCTGGGCTGCTCGAACCCAACCTACAAGCATGTGGATCACTTCCTGAGTGACTGTGTGCTAGACAGTCCTGGTTCAGCAGCTCTGACCCCAGCATCCTGTCAACAACCTACTGCCCCACTCTGGCTTCCACCAGCTTAGGTTACAACCAGCAAGATCACCCCAACACAGGCCCAGTTCCAGTTTCCACCAAACTGTGTGTTTTGATGTGTCCAGTCCTCTCCTGTATAGTTCAGAGAAATAGTAAGTTTTGTTTCTCCTGTGAAGAGACAAAATCACATCACAGATTATTAATTTAACTGGAGTAAATACAACTTTTCATGTAACCATCATGCTGAGTTGGGTTATAGTAAAAACTAAAACAAATTTATTAATAATAGGATTTAGGTTGAATGATGCCAAATAAAAGGAATAAAGTTAGAAAGCTTTACAAGCAAACAAAAAAGAAAACATGCTTCTAAGGGTCTAAAACTTAATCCAGCAAGATACAGGCTTTGTTCAAGATGGTTTCTCTTACCAGCCATTCTTCTCCCTAGCTATGGCTGATTTTCCCTCTGTCAGGACCTTCCACAAAAGTACAAGGTGTTTCTTTCTTTGTCTTTCCAGGTGAAAGATCTTTGCCTAACCAGCTTTTTTACCTATATTCAGTTCCAGAGACTTCAAACCCTCCTCCCCCTCCTTGGTTGAAGGACCTATCTTTCTCAGCTCGCAAGAAGAGCTCTGTTCCCTTGTGTCTGTCTAGCGATGGATGACAAAGATAGCTTCTGTCTTTGTTCATATTTACCAAAGTTCAATGACTTTGTTTCAAGAGGCAGAATGACCTCATGATGCTTTCCCCTTCCTACGGGCTTCCCATTCCCCTGCTGATTTCTATGTAAATGGAGCTTCCGTTGTTTCTGGTTATACCGTGCTTAATTTACATAGGAAACAAGTAGATAGCTGTAACATTCCCTCCTGTCTGGGCAGGTTGTCTAACCTAATATCAATGAGTTTCCATAATTCCTTATATAGTGTTAACACACACATTTCCCATTGATATTATTCACCCATGTGTCATTAGCTTTCAGCAAAGACCTCACTCTGTAAAACAGTAATATTGTATACAATCAGTTCATTCAATTGCTGATCACTTGACAGCTCCCCTGTCTTTATAGATCAGTAAACCTTTGCAACGTATTCTTTGAAAAGTAAAACCCAGACCAAGCTTCCCTCTCCTTCTGGGTGTAGATGCCATGTGTTCTTGTTAGCGTGAGGTTTGTCTACACCTGTTGTTATCCTGATGGGTCCATTTATGGAATATGCAAATACAATTTCATTTTCCTGCAAAGTAATTTGGAAGTCACTCCCAGGTGGGGAAAACACATTCCTTTCTCTATGCAGACCTGTTTACCAACTCCCCTGGCATACTTGGTTTATACACATCTTTAGTCATAATTCTAGAATATATCCATAACTCTTAATACCCATTACATACATACGTACATCACACAAGAATATTAATACTCAGTGAGTTAATAGTTTTCAGCTGATACCTTACAAGGCATATTTTGTACAAATATGTTTACAATAGTGTGTCGGGTGTGAATACAAGGATGCTTAGCATCACACAGAGGAGTAAAGAGACACTTCCACTACTGAAAAAGAACTGATTCATTTGGATTAGAATTGGAGAAGATGCAGAGGAAAAATGGAAAGACACAAACAAGAAAGAAGGAGAGAAACAGAAAGGAGAATGGGGAAGGAATAGTAACAAAGCAGAAATAACAATGGTACTACTGGGGAGTGTATTTTCCCACTGAATGGTGCTGAATATGACAAGAAGGTACTGAACACAGAATAATGATAATGGAAAGTTTAATTACTATTACATAAAGGCCATATTCTACCTGATTTCTGTACAAACCTCTTATTGCCCTCAATGGGAGTTCCTCTTTATTAAGAAGGGTGTTAGTCCTAAGTGCATAAATTGGCTCATGAATCATAATTAAAAATAGAATTTGGGCCGGTCTGAAGGCTGAGTTTGACAATTCCCGTAATTAGATATCTTTCTTCCTTCATTTATATGATTTGGATATAGCTTTTTAAGCATAGAAAATCTATTTTCTACAATTTGTTCTTGTCCTTTTGTGCCAAAGTATTTTCAAGAATGAACCAGTGAGGGTTTGAGTGTCAAAGCTGTTCAGTTCATCTGGTGTTAACAGGTGTCAACATTAGAGGGTAAATCATGTTTACTTTTCTCACATGAGGCAGCTCTGTCAAGCCAATAGAACTACTCAGTAGTAAGGAAGATGAGAAACCTTAGAAGTCTGATTTTTAATGGTCTTTTGACATCTCAAGTTGATGAGCTGAGATTTTAGGAGACTATGAAATTTTAGACAGTCCTGCGGAAAATCTTGGTTACTCATCTTAGAACATTAGCATTGTTCTGAAAGTCTTTATCAATCTTCCCTAGAGATTAGGGGCAGGAGTGAAGGGGTTTATTTTTTGTTTTACATATTAAGTTTAGCTTCTTTCTTTTTACTAACATCATGAGATGAGTTTTGTTCAAGACACACTTTTATAAGCTTTTCTTAAGAGTTATTTATTGTCCTGGGAATTGAACAAGATATTTCTGTCTTTCACTTGAATTGGAATCTAAGTTTGCCATCTATTTGACCTTTCCATTAAAAAAAGCCTGTAAGTAAATTTTGTCTTAATTGTTTGCGGACATTTGCACAAAAATGGATGTAACTGCATTTAAACTAGGGAGACTTACAGAACTGTCAGTCAGTATGTATATATATTTTAAAAACCTAAGGGGGAAGGGCGAGGGTGCTGCATCTCAAAAACTCACAACTCCAGGGTGGCTTATGATTTTCAAATTGTTAAATCATTCTAGCATTGCCACTGTAATCTCTCAGAGCAGAAAACTGGAAAGCTTTATATTGAGGGTTGTAGGACTTCTGCTTGAAGAGCACATACAGAAACACAGCAAATTAGATGGCAAAGCCTGAGTAAAGGTGACTTTTGGTTGAAGGATGCTGCAGGCCATGGTTGGCTGGCTTTGTTCTTGGACCATGTTTGATGTTACTTGTCAAGTCTCCGGCACAGAGAATTGGCAGGGAGACATAGCTGCAATTAAAAATAGGTATTTTCTAAACAGCCGCATTTTATTTTTATAGCTGGCATATCCCCCAGTTTAGATCTTTCACTGGATGAATCTGGTTAATTATTTCTTATATGACTTAGGCCTTTGTCAAGACTACTTTAACGACTAACAGAAATACGCAAGAAACCGTCAGGAATACATGGAGCTCTAATTCCCAACCTTATTTTTGTAAACAATGATGCCATTTTTTTTTTGGATGGCATCACTGCCTGTCAGAAAAATAAGAGATCAAACATGAATACTTCATTTTTCTTAACAGTATGGCATAGCAAATGTCTCTCTTCCAGAAAAACCAAGGACGCAAACAATGTTCATGCAGGGAATATAGCTTAAGTAATTCACACAGTATACAAACATTTATTGGTACAAAACCTGCAACACGAGGTTTTTGTTAAATTTTAACAGTGTTTTCTCAAATCTTCAAAGCTTGCCTTGATGGTTTGCTGAAGTAATTGAACCACTCTTGAGTTGTTTTATATAGGACATCTTATCTTTCTTTCATTACCCAGTCCGTGGCTTCTTTTCTATTCCCGTGAAATCCATGTACACACTTTAGAAGCCCTCCTGAACAAGCTTGCTTCTAACTTTCACAGAGCCCTTAGCACAATTTGAATACGAAAGAGATACTGAATAAAAAGCTTTAATCTCTTGTCTGCTATTCTTCTTTCTTGCCTCTCTTCATCTCCCCTTCTTCTAAGAGCTTTTCTGTGTAAGTAAAGTGAACACTTTCAGTTTAAAGTAAGTATAATGCTCAATAAGATGCATTGGGAAAGTGAAATCGAAAGGCTGGCCTGTGAAGCTTCTCTATCACAATTTAGCAACATTTGTGCTGCATTTACTTTTGGTTAAACTTTTGCAGGTAAAAGATTAGTAAAGAGCTCTCCTTAACAAAATCATTCAATCAGCAGCAAGTATAGGCAGTATCAAATGTGCCCTCTACTTCAAATACTGTGGGGCTCTTTCTTCTGATACCTCTTCCCTTAGTTAACTGGGATTGCTTTGAAAGGGCTTTCTGTTCTCCAGTCTCTTGTCAATTTGAATGCCAGGAAATGAGCCCCCTTTGTGAGATTAATTAATAGCAGGAGCTGATCGGCCCAAGCCCAATCACCACGCAACAGAGCTGTAATTGCTACTTTGTGGAAAGGAAAGAAAAAGTTTTGGTTGCAGTTTAAGAAGAGGGTTTAAGGAAAGTTCTTTGAACTAGAGGTCTCAGTGTACTGGATTAAGGCAAGAAGCAAGAAGGCCTTTGAAGTTTGTTAAGAGGTTTTGGAGGAGAAAAAAGTTGGGTGGCAAATGGGAGCTGGCAACATCAAAAGCACTTAGTACCACTCCTCACCTGCTTGTATTCAGAACCGGGACCACAGACTGTAAGGATCATTTGCTATCAGTTTAAATTATCAGTTTGGGGTTTTGTTTTGATCTTAAACTGCAGTGTGAATGTGCATAGATACATGCGGAATATACACCTGTACATACACAGGTATGGGAATACATATGTATATTATATACATACACATACAATGAAATATATATTCACATCTGTCATTTGTCACCAGACCTAGCCACAGAAGTTTGTTTATTGCTACTTCGTTAATTATTGATATTTGTGCTTAAAGTCACTGATCACTCATATGGCTAGTCTCATTTTTGGTTAAAGAACAGGCTTATTGTATACAGGCATTGCTAAATCGTTCCAAGCATTATACACCTTCTGGGAATAAATAAAAGGTAAAAGGGTCAAATGCAGGCAAAATACAACTCGCAGAAAGTGAAAAATGGAAGTATTTTGGCCAAAGTCAGCAGTGATGTAAACCCTTATTTAAGCTGGCCATAACGTGAGTAAAAGTGTACGTGACAAATTAATATCATTTGTACCATTTTAGCATTTAGTGAGTGTGCAGAATTGATGTAACTTACAAGCAGATCTTGCTCCAACAGCACAAAGGGGCTAGAAAACTGTCCTAATGGGATATCTGACAATTACCCTGGAGTGGGGGAATCTTCAAGTGGCTCAGAGCTAGCATAGCCCGTTCTACTCCATCTGTACCTGACCATCATAGGGATTTGGCAATCCCTAGCCACTGTAAAAATGCATAAGACTACTGTAAGGCAGTGGAACTTAGAGCAGCCGTGAAGTGCTCTAAAAAGTCTAAATTATGCTGAGGGACAAACCAGCCCATGGAAATCAAGACTACAAAGGTGGGTGAAAGCCACTTTTGTCCACCTATCATTTACACCAGAGCAAGCACTGAAATCAGTGGGCCAAATTCATGACTAATGTAACTCCAGTGATGTAGATGATGATCTCAAATTGCTAGCAGAAATGACATGGGCCATGTCCATATGCTTAGAACCTAGGAGCATTCTAATTTAAAACACAGATACCTAGCCACAAACATGATGATACATTACCATTTCTTCATTTTGCCTACTAACTGAGGAGAATAATAGGATGAAATTCCAGGGTGACAATGATTAGAAACATGACATTACTATCAACTACCTGCTTAAATACCACACACAAGATTTTTTTTCTACTGCTGGAAACTGCCTTTTTAAAAAAAAAACAAAAACAAATCTCAGCACTGCATAAATAAATTTAAAAAACAAAGTATTTATTCAAATTAATATCAATGGGCAAGTTAACGCTCTTACAGCTTTTTGCCATGACTCCTCAAGATTTCATTTGATTCATACTTTTTTCCACCTGTTCATTTTATAGCTTAACCAGGCACTATTAAAAGAAGCTGCTAAATGAAGCCTTATTGAAATAGCAAGAGTAAAATGACATTTTAGCTGTGAGACTTTTGGGGGGATGGTAAAAAGGTTAAAAAGGGCAAGTCAGCTAGAAACCTAATTAGTTTAAAACAAGGCTAGACCAAACACTGGAGAGAGACATGTTGTGCTGGGTTTTCAGAAGATGGACAAGATGCTCTAGCTGGTCTTTTCCATTCGTATCTTTAGAGATCAGAGATACCCAGCCCACCATGGCTGGGGTGAATGCACAACTGACTTTCTTTCCTATTTACACATAGACTCTTACCTTCTTGATCTATACCCCTAATGGTCACTCTAAATGTTCACAGCTAACACCACAGGATCTTCTGTAGTTCTAGCCTGTTCTTTTCATTGTTTTAATGAACTATTTGGGGTGCAGCATGACCAATATAGCCATATAAAGTACTGCAGAACAGATTGCTTATGTGGTATTTTCAGGAATATTTTCACCCATACCATGGAGCTCACTCCTGCCCTCATAGACACCAAGCATGTTCCATTGAAGAACCAAATCCTGACTTCAGGGGGTCTGCTCATGCAGGGAGATCCAGTTTTGATCCAATGTCTGAATGCCTCCTGTTCAAAACAAGAAATGTACCTTTCTGAAACCCATTCTGAGCTGTCTTTGGCAGAAGTTTTTGATTCTTGTCATGTATGTATTCTGCCTCTATGGAAGCATATATTGCAGCATGTCAAATTATTTTCATATGTATATACTAAGCAAGAAGGAGACAAATATAAAAACTACAAGAAAATTTTGGAGTTGAGGAAAAATAAGTTTAGTTTAGTTTTAGTTTAGAACACCTATTGTTCTGATAAAATTTACTTTATAGATAGATAGATAGATAGACAGTTTAACTGTTCATCTCATTTGGCCCATATTTCTGCCTGTGTTTGAGTAAAGATTTGTGGCCAATCGCTGCAAATGTTACACAGATGTTTGTTATAAGCAATTTAATACAATAGCAAGCTTAGAGAGACACAAATTCCCCACCTTGCACTGATTGAAAGCCTAGGACACATGTGGTTAAATATCCCGGGTCATATCATATGTAATGCTAAATTTTACTCATCTTGGGCAAAGCAATGGCATAGATATCTTCTTTATTTAATCATACACATTAATTCACAAAATGTCTAAAAAAAATACCCAAGCCCATCCATATATCATTGTTTTTCAATGAGTTTTCTATAATTACATCTGTTAACAAAAGCAATAAATTCAATTAAAATTTAACTGACAGTGCATGAGAGCAAAGCAGGTTCTCTCTTTTTATGTCAAACACCTTATATTATGCCATGCATGTTAAGTTTTGCCACTCCTTAAGGCTTGCAACTGCAACATTTTAAGTGATATCTGGAGGCTTGTAATTGTATGTGCACATCAATTATGGATTGGATTCAGCATTTTCAGATAACTTCACCAATCACAAAGACAGCCCAGTGGTCTCCTGGCATTTTCAGAGCAGTTTGGTTACAGGTGTAACACATACAGCCTTGTTAGTTCTCAGTGATGAGGGATTCCTTTCCCTGTTGGTTTCTAGCTGAAGCACTGACCATTGCTTTTCACTAACAATTTCTGTCTGCTCCCAAGAGATGTTTTAATGAGCCCCTCCGACATGGCCAAAGGCAAGAAATGTTCTCTGGGCCAGTGAGGTGAAGAGCCAAAGCTTAACCTACTAGGCAAGCAATAATTAATACGGCATTTTTGATTCATCTCAATTCATTAACAAAGTTTTAAAAATTATGACTGCTAAGCAACACAATGTTAAGTTTGTGGCATCGCTCTCAAGTATTGAGTGAGAAGCCCATGGCAAGGCATGTAAATATATATAAAAAATAATAATTTGTTACACAAATAAATCAATTTAGAATACTACTTTGGGAAAAGGCAACCGACAGATTTTAGTGGAAAGACTGATTTTAGCGGAAAAAGATAAATCTGTTTTCCGTTTGTTTTAAGGAGAGGAAATGAATACTGATTGGAAATGTATAGGCAGTCGGGCTTGTGCAGCATTTGGTTATGTTTTTGCAGAATACTCCATTTGTCTCAAATTTTCCCCAAATTTTTGGACTAAGTGCTAGTTATCCAAATTGATAACGGGAATGTGGTGTGACAGCATTACAAAGTCCTTGAAAACATTGCTGTTGAACTGCACTGTGGTGTCACACTCTGGCAAATAATTTGGCAGATCTTAGCTAGTACATTTTCTTTAGGAGGCAATTCCATTTAGTATTAATAATTACTGCTTTCGGGTGGGTCAAACTTCTATAGGGAATATTTGAAAAATGCTAGTCTGAACTGATTTAGAATCCTTCCAAATTTTAATTTGCATCAATTCGGGTTCTTGAAAGGAAAACCAATTAGGAGCAGTTATATGGGGCAGGGGTTAGTATTTTTTTTCTTCCTTCTTCTCCCAAGTCTAGGATATAAGGAAAGAAGAATAAAAAAAGTATTGTCAGAAAGACGAGTAAAAAGAAATATTAGTTAAAACGAATGCATCAAAACTGAAGCTCTTTAGAGATATGGAAAGGGCATCAATCACTTCTCTGGGCACATTAAGCTGTTACATATTATAGCCATCTCAGTTTAAGTGGTGTAAGGCTCATCTCATTTGCATTTGTTGTGTTACAATCTTGCTTCAGGCCTGTCTCCGCAGTGAATAAGGTGGCTGTGCAAGGCAGCTTGTGGCTGGCATAAAGGATATGTCAGAATCAAGCTGCTTCACTAATCAGCTTTGCTGGGGCAGATACACGATAGTCTATGTGAAGAAATTTAGATAATAGTCTACAGCATCCACTAGAACTGTATATAGTGTATATGGGGCTTTAGTTTAACTTCTAATCCTTCATGGAAAATGTGTAAATACTGCGGTGATGTTCTAGTGACCTCTAAAGGCAGCTGGTTTGAGCTGTTATTTTGTTAAATCTCATGCTTTGAACTACACATAATGTCGACGTTCTTTAAGCCTCTTCATGGGGAATTTTTTCCAAAGTGTATGATTAATCACGTTACGTTAAACCTTTCCTGTTTCATTTTTGTATTCTCACCCCTTTCCTTCTCTCTTCTGATTCCAGGTAAACCCCCTGCTCCTGCTCCCACTAGACTCCCCTTCTCATATGGATTGGTCACACTGGCTGACTGTGCTGGAGGCCAAGTCAAGGCTAAACGCCCAAGCCAACAGCAATCCCAACTTGCATGACCCTCCCCTGGGGCCCAGCAGTGGTAGCCTGTGCTGTGGTCTCTCTCCATTCCTCCTCTAAACAACTTGGCATTATCATCAATTCCCCTGCCTCCAGCAGGCCAGATCAGAGGCTTTATTCACACAGTGCCTTGCCACAGGTGCTGCTTCGAGCTGAATTTGACTCCACTGCCACGCTGGCTAAAAAGTAAGTTTTTAAAGACATTGCTTTTCTGTTTCAGTATTTTTGTTTGTTTGTTTGTTTGTTTGTTTGTTTTAAACAACATCGACCAAAAGTTTGGATTCCAAAAGTTTGGATTCCCCCACCCTCCATCGGCTCTATGCAGTACAGCACTTTCCCCCTCATATCATTGCCCTTTGCTCAGCTGGCAGGTATGGTACACCATTTTTATTGAGCGCCAACTTGTAAAAGTGGCTAGGTCAGAGCCAGGATCCTTCTACTTATCAGATGAAAGCTCCAGTCATGAGCCTCTCCTGTTTGTTCATATCATGTATACAGCAGTTTGGTTTGTAAACATGAAACTCTCTGTGCTTTCATTTGCCTTAATCATCATTAAACAATTAGGTAGGACATTACTCGTACATTGGCATAATGGTAAGAAAAATTATACCTCTGAGGGTAACAAAAAGCAACAGAGTATTTTGCATGCAGGTGATTCTTAGGAATAATAGAACAAGAATGTCTTTTTCTTACTCCTCTATTGAGGATGAGAGGAGTGTTTTGAAAAATGGCACCATGAAAGACCTATAAAGTTGAATAGTTGGGAGATAATAACTCTAATGGTAAAGGTCCCTGCATACATATACCACCCTGCCTCTGGCAGTAATCCTGGCTTTGGGGATCTGAAATTTCCTAAAGATGTATTAGTGTCTTATACACATGTGCTCTTGTGCACTCATAATCCTTTTCACTAGCTTCTTAGCTGCATGCTTTGTATTTAAATTTTCCTTCTGACCAAGTAAATCCCTTTGGATGAAGTGACAGGAGCTTTTCAGCACCCATAGCTGGGTGACAGCTGGTGCAGAGACTCTGAAAGACTGCAAAGTGTTCCTTACTAGCTTTCTTCAGGACCGGTGTCAGCCACCAGCTGAGCGGTTTGTTAGTTCCCCCTTTGGGCATCAGTCAGCTGAAGAGACTCACATTAAATGCTAGAGTAACACAATAGATATTAATATAAAAACAATATCTGTGCTTCTGGCTTAGCTGTGCTTCTAATTAGATACTTATTTATTACATGCGAACATGGTACATTTTCATGCATCCGATGAAGCGAGCTGTAGCTCACGAAAGCTCATGCTCAGATAAATTGGTTAGTCTCTAAGGTGCCACAAGTCCGCCTGTTCTTTTTATTACGTTCAGTGTAAGAAGTATAGTCTGGTTTCAGAAAACATGGTTAAAACTATGGTTTGAAAAGAAGTAATTGTCAGCAGCCTTTCAAAGAGCAGTGCAGTGGTTAAAGTAGTTTACTTACCGATCACAGAACAAAGTGTTCGTATTTTTTTTCCCCCGCAAGTCAAGTTTCCCTGCAATGTCCAATACATAATATATTCTGTTATTTATATCAAAATGTGAAGGGTTGCTTCTCAGGGGTTCTGGCAAGTCTTTGCTATTGGCATTAGAAATCAGAAGCAATGGAACTCCGGAAGTACATCTGACAATGTAATCAGGTTGTTAAAGGTAAAGCAGTCCAAAAATGGAACTCTTCTAGAACCACGCTGTTAGCGCGACGTAACCATTCAGACTGTCTGGATGTTTCCTGCCGAGATTTTTTTGCGAGGGTGCAGACAAATGGGAAAAACGCTGTGCTGTACCCTCAGCACTGAAAAGAAGGGAGTCATTCAAAACAAGCCCGTTTTCAAACACAGCTGATTACATTTTTGAAGATTCCTTAATGTTGTGTCACTCTCTAAAGCTATAGTATTGCAGCACAGAGCCAAAACCAGTTCTCACCCATTCGGAGTTGAAGTTTGCCTGAGCAAGGTCTGTACAGGCTGGCCGAAGGTTTATGAAAGCAGCTTTGTATAGAAAGTCCAGTTCACATTAAAATATTTTATCCAAGACTCACATACTCACACACACACACGTTTGTGAAAATATCGTAAATATAAAGGGTACTCTAGCTTGTGATAACAGAAGTTTCGAGCTCCTTTGCTTCTATTTCTTTTTTCAGAAATATTTTGGTAATTAAAACTCTCTTCCCCAGTAAGGGATGTTTAGGGGATGTGTGTGTGTGTGTGTCTGCGATTGCTTTGTTCTGCAGGGAAGAAATCAGAATTCCCAAAAGAACTGCTCCTCACTAAAACGCTCTGAACCCTAGTTGCTTCTAAAGTCAAATATCGGAACTGAAAAGTGAAATATTTGAAGATGTTCCTGGATCTAATTCTGGTCCTCTTGACTTCAGTGGAGCAGGTTTGGGCATTCTGTGCCTATTAACAGCAAGTTTGAAAATGTTTTCTTATGCATGATGGTTTTCCAAAATATGGTAATGGTTTCAAGAGTATACATTTCCATCAACTTTTTTTTAATTTAAATAAATTTCTGTTTTTAAAACACATTCAACTGTTGTGTTGACCTTTTAATTTCACCTAGGATAATTGAATAATAGTGTGTGTTAGATGGAAAGAATAAAGCAATATATTAATTTTGCAAGGTGATTTCTATTTATGAGTGCATTAGGGTCATGGAGTTGAGGGAAATGAATAAATAAATAAGCCCAAAGGAAATGTTGTCATGTTGCTGTTTCTTTTACTTTGGAAACTTAGCCAAACTAATTTTCAAAATAAAAATAGGGGTTTATACTTTTAAAAATTGTTCAAACATTACCGACACACAGGAGGAAAAACATGATTCAATCTCAGTAGGGAAGTGGCATTACTTTTCAAAACCAAAGAGAGACATTTCTTTTCATTTTTTTTAAAATTCCTGTCCTATCTCAATCTATCCTTGCTATTCATTCTTACATCTGGATTTTGACCCACTCTTTTGCATGCATTTTTTTCTTCCAAATAAACTTCTATTGAAAGTATGTACTTGCTAAAATTTCAGATTAAGCAGATCCCTGAATGACTTTCTGATGGGTCTGATCCTGCTGTCCCAGAAGTCAGTGGGAGTTTTAGCTCTCTTTGATTTCAAGAGAAACATGACAGGGCCCTACATTTGTAATACTTGTGTACTAGTTATAGATGTGAATAAGCAGAGCTGAAAGCCTTCTTGGAAGTGGTGCAATTCTAGAAATCTGCTAATAATAAAAATGTAATTTGGAAGATTTTGGTTTGAACTTGGAGCATTTCAATTAGGTCTTGAACTCAAGCACTTCTTCAGCATTTTCCCCTTATGAATTATTAATATGGGGCTTGTAATGGGCTCACCAGTGACTCCTGAATCCTTAGTAGTAAAATATGATCATTTTATCATAATACTATACTGAAGAATTCAAGAGATGTTTATCAAGAATAATACCTATATTTCTACATTATGTTTATATATTCTGCTGTATATATGTGTATGTATATGCATACACACACACACACACAATTCCAGAGAATTTGGTATTCTGCATTCATTCTCTCTCTATAAAAAGAGAGTTTCCAGTTTGCATCTAAAGGTCCCAAATTTTGCATTTTTATTCCTTTATTCCTTTTCTTTAGAAACTTTTCTCTGGTTATTTCAAAATATTTGTTATAAATTGTTCTTTTTAGATGTTAGGAAACATTGTTTGGTCAATTTTTTTAAAACAAATTTCCAGCTAGGGAAAAAAAATATAGGGCATACCTGTATGTTTGGTGTCTGTTTACATTTTCTGTAATGTAGTCATTAAGCACACGACGTAGACTTAAAGGACGTCAAAACTGACAGCCACACTATGATTGATGATGGTGTGCTAGACTAATTCTTACCAGGTGTGGTGTGATGTGAATTCAAATGTAGCTCAGAGTTCTTATTTGTATTAGTAAAGTTATGCTTTGTCAAAGTTCTGTGACTTCTTAACCTATTAAATCCCATCTTCTTAATCCCAGTTTTTCTTTCCTTTATTGCTGTACACATTTTGCTTCCCCTCTCCCCAGAAAACAATGCTCATGCCTTGTGATTTCTTAAGATATCAGTTTGTACAAACGCACAACTTGGAAAATACTGAATCTGATGGGGTTATGTTACCTAAGTCTAAAATTTTACAGAGAGGCTTCCTGAGTGATTTGACCTGGGGTAGACTAGATTCTGTAGTGTGAAATTCACTTAATCAGCACAAAGCATGAGCAGCAGAGCTTTATGAGTGTGAAGTATATAAGCCATCCCTGCCAAACCCAAGACTTGGGCTGCAGCCCCCACCCTCCGCTCCCACATGTCACCACCGTCACTGCTTCCTATCTGTTACTAGTATTGTGTGGGAGGGTAACTGGACTCTCTTAAAGGCCAGTGGGAGCTGCTAGGTGCACAGCACTTTTGAAAATAGGGCAATGGCTTTATGAGCCCTATGTTAGGTTTTGATTTTTGAGAATCTTGGCCTCAGTGAATAATTTTCATTCTATGGACTGTCTGTGAATTGTTGGCCTTGACTATTTGGTAGTTATCTGTGTTGTGTGATAGGTGGCTGTAGACACTTGGTTTTCTTTCTGTTTCCTGATTGGATGACGGAAACTTTTTGAAAAAAGAAAATTAATTAAAAACAGATCATGAATTTCCAATATGAATTTTGAGGTGCATAAACATGTATGGTAATTTTGATGAAACCTTCCGATTTGGCAGACAATCAGAGAATCATAAATTTAGTTGGGGAATGGTCCTGCTTTGAGCAGGGGGTTGGACTAGATGACCTCCTGAGGTCCCTTCCAGCCCTGATTTTCTATGATTCTGAAAATTCTGAAATAATGAGCAATATGACCCCATGAATCATAGCAGACCAAACCACAATTTGCACTTTAATTTGTAAAAGTGTTCATTCATCTTTTTTCCCCTTTATTTGACAAGGTATAATTTTAAGTTAGTCCTTTCTTATGCAAATTCCCATTGATTCAAATGGGATTTTGCCTGAGTAAAGACTACGTAAAGACTTCTGGGTGTGACCCTTGGGAGCAAACTCAGACCACTCTTTTATGGATACAAAGAATCCAGAGCAGAATTAGTGCAGTTCTATTAAACATTGGGGGATGGATAATAGGGGCCAGCAAAGAAGGCACTGCTCTGCCTGGGTGCCCTCTGAAGCAGAGCAGAAGGGGATAAGGTGGGGAACCACCATAGACTGGATTATCCTGGCACCCCTCTGTGAGAAGCACATAAGGTGCATAGTTAAGCTGAAGTAACTTCCACAGAGCTGTTCTGCAGGCACTCTATAACCCTGGAGGCAGCTCACTGTCTAGCTCCCTCACACCAGAGTAGGTATATACCTCAGGCCTTGGTGGTCTGGGTTTTGGCCATAGTGCATAAATAATTTGGTTCCCACTTGTGTTATTGTCCTTCTTTTTGGGGTAACTCAATTAATATTGCAAAAAACATGTCCAGACTACAAGGACTTGGAGCTGGATACCAACCATGATAAACACTGCTAACCACTTATATTTAGGTGCCTGGAGACATTGGCCACTTGGTATCTAAAATGAGTTAGCCTAATTGTTTCCCATTAGCTTCAACTGGGCAATATTTTGCACCATAGAAAAGAAGGGAAATTTCGTTTGGATTTTTGCATTTACACGTACGTGTCCACTTCTGTGGACCTTCCCCTATGCCAGTTCCCCCTGCACTTCAGCTAGCTGAAAGATACCTATGCACATACATGGAAGGTGGAGGAATAGGGGTTAGGGTGGTGGGTGGGATTGTGCGAGTAACAATAGGAGGTAAAAAATTAATCTGAACTGAAACCCATTATCTCTAATTGGGGATGCAGTCTGTACTCACAAAACGTCTGCCCACGTTTCTGCATCCTAGAACTAAATTTTGGGTGCCAGTCTCACTATTTGCAGCTCTAAGTACATTTTTTGTGTTTCGTGAAAAAGGGAGATCATGCTTCTTTTGAAAACATTGCTCTTTGTAAATACAGCTTTGTTTCTTTTTGAACTATATAAGGTGTGGATTTATGGTTCCACAGAGGCAAGTTAATGCCTTGCCTTATTCTGCAAAACAAGAAAACCCATCTCAAGAAATTGTCAGGTGCAATATGTCTTCAAGACACATGCACAGAAGACCCATTTACAGATTGGGTATTCAAATTTACCAATTGCTTGCGATAGCTAAATGAGATTTGCAGTTAGCTAATCTCAGTATTTAGAGCATTCAAGCTACTTCCTACAGAAAATACAAGGTATCCAAGGGAATAGTGAAGCTAGTGAGCAAACTGTAGATATTTAAATGAGGTAAAATTGGCAAGTTTTCCAGTATCATCATTGTAGAAACCTAAGGTGAATATCCTAACTTTCTCAAAGCACCCCTCTTTCTCTAGCCCAGGCCCCACATCCACCATTCAAAATGCAGTACCCCTCTCTCTAACCTCCACTTATTCAGGGGCTAGGAGGGTTTCGTTGGACTTGCAGTTTCATGACTGGCAGGGGGAGGAGCACTGACACCCTTTCTCCCCCATCTTTTGCAGCCTCGTGCTTGGGTGGAACTTGGGCAGAGCTCCCGGGTCCTTAGTTCTTCCCCCTGATGCCAGATAGATCCGTTCATGGTCCTCCTTCAGGGGCACAGGGCAGTGCTTCTGGAACAAATCAGGCCACCATCTCTGTCTCGTTTTACCCCGCTGTCAGATGTGGATGGTAATACTTCACCATAACAGAGAGTTATTGCGAGGTTTAGTTGACTAACGTCTGTAAATTCTTTAGAAATATTTCAGGGAAAGTTGCTATGTAGTGCAATGTTGTGATGATGATTATTTAGATTAAAACTTAGGGATCCAAATTAAGTGGGTGGTAGCTTGCAGTATGTACTCCTCTCCTCTTGAACTCATGGTAACTGCGATGTTTCTATTATTCCTTCATCTTGCTTATCAAATAAAGGT